AGGCTAAGGCTTTTTTTTTAATAGAAAGAAGCTGGTTTTAGCAAAGAAGACATTACGTACACAATTTGTGAAGATAATCTTGAAGATTGCTGGGTAATTTTAGAAAGCTCAGATTCTTTCTTGGGGGCACTCACCCTCTATCATTTAGACGATGCATATATATGTAGTAGCAGTATTAACTTGTATATATACATGTGTATTTCATCTCTGAGGAAATGTGCTATATAAATGCAAAGGAACAATGATAATGGTAATTCACATTTTTCCTATAATATGCGGGAGTATATTCATGAAGTTATCTGCTTTTGCAATACGGGAAACAAGAGAAGGATATGTAAAATCTCAGAAAGTTTGTGTGGCATATATACCTGCACACATATACATATATATTACATACACATTTAATTTTTTTTTAACATTTACTTTAATTGAGCAGCTTCATTTTGGCTTTTTTTTAAAGAAACCTTAGGAGAGCCCCAGAAGAACAAAGAGGGAAGACTCACTAACCTGCTGGTCTAAATGTTTTGCAAAAGTGGTACCACTGTGTTAAGGCCCTGAAAATGGGTAATAAATATCTGCAAACACAACAAAGGCCTGGTGTGTTTTTTCTCTTTAAAAAGACAAAATAGCTTTCTCTTGCCCGTCAACTTTGTTCCTCCATTTCAATAAATGGCTATTTGCTAAATTGAATCAAACTGGCCTAGGAAACTGAAGACAATAGAATTTTGCCAAAAGAAGGGTTTCCTTTGATCTCCAAGAAGCTCTTGCCACATTCTTAAATCAGAACAAGTTAGCCTAACATTTAAGTGATTTCCAGTCTTTGAGGCCTTTTCTATCCTACCTACTTTAACATTCTGAGATTTCAATAGCCTCAGGTACATTTTTTTTCCCTATCTTTAACCAGTCAGTAGACTTTTTGTTCTTCCTTCTTCCATGTAAAATATATGCCTATTTCTATTCTCTCACACCTGCAGGCTACATAAACTGTATTCTTCAGAATATTAATTAATCAACAAATCTTTATTAAGCACTATGTGTCAGACACTGGGTATACAAAGACAAAGATGAATCGGTACCTGATCTTGGTGAGTTTAAATTGCATATAAATAATACATCCTATTTAACCTGCAAACTGTTAGTGTTTTCTGGCATTGAATGGTTAAGAAAACATTTGGGAATGTGTGAACGTGGCAAATAGGAAATTTGAGTTCAGTATCAGGAAAACAAAACAAAACAAAACTTCTAAATATCTGGAGCAGTCCAATAGTGGAATAAGATCCATTGGAAGGTGGTAGACTGTCCCTCATTGAATGCCTTTAAGCAAAGACCAAATATTAAAATAACAAGTATTTTGTCATCCTGGATCCTTTTTTGTTTATGACTATTGTGGTACATTCCAATTCTGAAATTCTTTGATTCAATTTCCTATTATACATTACACCAATTTGATAAAAGTTCTTAAAGTGGAATCTGTATTTACTCCTCAATTTTACGATGGCTCTTTGTTATTAGTCATGGCACTTCCCTCTAATGATGCAGATTTCAACCTGTCTATGCTCATTCAGCCTATGTGACTTATGCCATTTTCTTTCATAAATCCTCCACAATTAGTCCATCTGATTGCTGAGAAGGGTTACCCCTATTCCCTTGATATTGCTTGTGGATATTAGTGATGTGAACTGGCTGTATTTCAGTCTGCCTGTACTTGCAAAATAAATAAATCTCTAATTGTTCCACAAAAATAAAAACAAAGAGAAAACCAAAAAAACCCCGCTTAACTTTACAAAGGATTTATCTCAAGGTTTCTTCAAGTTGACAGCTAGCTTTAGTACACTATTATTGCCACAAACTGTGATTTCACAACACAGATGGAGATCATGACCCCTTAATAAGCAATGAGGCCTTTTGCTTCACCTGCCCAGATCACCTAACGAACCTGGAGGCACCCTGCTTCTGGGAGAAGACATCCTGTATTGTCTCCACCACTTGGGTAGGAATAGCCTCATTGACTGGCTGTGTAGCCACTACTGATTGCCTAAAAACCACCCAAAGAAACAAAACCTGTAAGACTGACACACTTTCAGTCCTTTCTATAACATTCAGAGAGAGTAAAAACTGCAAGTTCCCCCAAAACCTGAGCATCAGGAAGTGAAATGATAAGGAAGGCAAAAGCTGCCTTTCTGCTTCTGCCTTCCTTTGCCTCATGGCCCTGAGGAATAGGCCTTGGGGTTTGGGTTTTTATCTTCTGTTTGGTTTGGTTTGGTTTGGTCTGCTTCACTTCTAGGCACAGGTGGTTAGAATCCCTGCTAAACCCATAACTGAGCCATATTGACCTTGGAGCCAGGATTCTAGTGCAGCCAGTCACCCTTTGCAGTGAAGCTTTGTGACATCAAGGAGTGGATTCCAGACCAAGAGGTGCTTTGGACTTGGGATTTGGGACTTTTCTATATAGGAACTGTTATAAAGAAGACCCCACACTCAGTTCCGAAGACCGGTGTCTCAAAGACTGATGTCTCAAAGACTTTTCATTAAAGAGGCTGAAGTGTGAACACACCTCCTTTGAAGGGGAGAGTGCTCCAAGTACCCAAACAAGAGCAAACTTTATAGCTAGTAATTGCCTAACTCCTCCCTTCTGGATTAGGATTGGTCCTAATCCTTCTCAGTTACACTCTTCCTTATACACCTGTTTATATATTTTACATACATGGGATCCCTACCTCTTAACATACGTTTTGTGCCTAGAATTGTGTTCTCACTGCCCCACCCTGGATGGAGAAGTTAGCCTGTCTGTGCTGATTTCTTATCTACTTATGTGGAAACAACTTTTTTATTCCTCACAGAACTGAGCTAAATTGTAAACAGAATCTCCTTGCCCTCTCCAATGACTGAGTCGCTAGTGGTAGTGGGGGGGGGGATTTTGCTCCAAATGTTGAGGCAGAGATGTGTGTATGTTTATTCTAGTCTTGTCTTTCAAGTTTAAATGTAAATGAGGTATAGAAACCCATACAATCCAGGGAAGGCCCTGTGTTGGGGCTGGAGTCAATCGCAGAGACTTGCTATCCCTAATCCTCTTTATGGGTAGTAGGAAAACCTGGAAGCAAAGTGAAAGCAATATACCTGGTCTTAGTGTATGTGAACTAGTAGTAGATCATTTTCAGAACTGATTGTTGCATTCATATTCCTGCCTTCATGCCTTTGTATAGACTGTCCCAAATACTTCAAAGGTCCTCTCTCTGTTCAACTTTATTTATTCAAATTCCTGGCTCTACGAAAGGCTCAATTTGCATCACTTCCTTCGAGCTTTTTGCTAATTTCCTATTAGGCCATTAAGTGGTGTGGTGAATAGAGTGCCAGTTCCAGAGTCAGAAAGACTCATCTTCCTGATTTCAAATCCAGCCTCAGACACTTACTAGTGCTGTGACTTTAGGCAGGTCACTTAACCCTGTTTGCTTCAGTTTCCTCATCTGTAAAATGAGCTGGAGAAGGAAATGGCAAACCAGTCCAGTATCTTCGTCAAGAAAACCCCAATGGAGTCACAAAGGATTGGAAACAACTAAAAAATAACAACACTAGGACCAGGCCAAAGTTACTTTTTATTTACTTTATGCATTTTTTTATTCACCTGTATATTGACCTCCTCCCCTTGCCCGAGAATGTAAGCTCTTTGAAGACTAAGACTGCTTAAATTTTCTTTGCATTCCCCTAGCACACAACCCAGCATATTATAGGAGCTCAATAAATGCCTTTTGAATGGAATAAAATGGAATGGAAGGGAATGATTGAGAATTTGATAGCTTACAGCAAATTATGTGATGAAACTCTGAAATAATAGCTAGGTGCATCCTCAGATGATAATCTATCATTATTTCCCCATTCAAAGCCTTTTGAACTTTTTAGGAGCAGATAGCTTTTGCTCCTATTCAAGAATTCAGATTTGTCACCACAACATGAGGAAAAATTAAAATAAACCTTCAGCAGAGAATCTCCCTTAAATATTTAAAGTAGGAATCATTATGCTATCCTTTCAAAAATAAAGTCTGTATGTAATAAGCACTTAATGAACATTAGAAAGGGAGGAGAGACCAAAAAAAAACAGACACTGACAGAGAGAGACAGATATAGAGACAGACAGAAAACAAGAGGCAGAGAAATAGATTGTAAAATCTTTTGTTGTTTTTGTTCAGTCATGTCCAACTCTTTGTGACCCCATTTGGGGCTTACTTAGCAAAGACAGAAGTGGTTTGCCATTTCCTTCTCCAGCTCATTTTACAGATGAGGAAACTGAGGCAAACAGGGTTAAGTGACTTGCTGAAGGTCACATAGCTACTAATTCTCTGAGGCTGGATTTGAACTTAGGTCTTACTGACTCCAAGCCTAGTACTCTCTCTGCTTCATCACCTACCTGCCCTGTAAAACCTAGCACAATTGAAATCATTAGTATTAGCAAATCTGTGTCTGCTTTAGGATTACAAGATTATAATTGAGCGTCAATCAGTCATATTGCATTCAAAGTTACTAACCATCTGATCTGCATTTTCTGGATGTCTCATATCATCAAAGAGAAAATAATCTTTTAAATCTTGACAGGACAACATTCCCTAAATCAATCAGTCTCTAACTATAGCTTGATTTTTTGAACTAGAAAGGTCTTAGAGAGGCTTTTCTGTTTTTTATTGTTTTTTTTTGTTTGTTTTTTCAGCTGAAGGGAGAGTAAGACAGTGTGTTTGAGGATCTGTCAAATGAGTATTAAGGAAAAATTATAGTTTCTGCCTATAGTAATATTTGGAAAAAAATTACCATTTTGTATATTTTCTGAGCATTTTAAATAATCTGTTATTTAATCCTCACAGTAATTTTAAGTGGCTGGCCATTGAAAAGTGTTATTTATTCCTTCTTCTTTATTAGAGTTCACATTGTTAGAGAAGTGATAATTAAATTGAGGTAAACAATATGAAAAGTTTGAAATCAAGGGAGAGAAAACACATATTATTATTTAACAGGAAATGTAGCACTCAAGTGTTCTTATGAGGTTGTGACCTGGTACAATGATGATCAGAACATCTAGCACATGGGAGGAACAAAGCCAAAAGGAGAATTTCCCAGAACCTGAGACATGCATAGAACCCACACAGGATTTCTAAACTGTCTGGACTTTGGTGAGCTCATAATGACCTGGCTTTTGTTTTAGTTGTTGTTTTTTTGTTTGTTTGTTTTTTAAGTTATCAAGACTGCACATTATTAAATTTGTTCTAACTCAACAATCAGGTAGTAAGTTACTAATACTATGTCATCGAGAAGCTTACATCTATTGGGGCATACAGCAGATGTTCTGATGTAAGTAAATATAAATCTTGTACAGAATAATGACAAAGTGATCTTGAGCTTGGGGAGAACAACAACTGGGATACTAGGAAAGGTTTCACTCAGTCGGCAACTGAACTGAGCCTTGAAGAGAAATAGGAATTCAGAGAGAAAAGGGACAGCATTTCTTGTAAGGGGGATAGCCTGTACAAAGCATGTTGATAGACAGCAAGATAATATATGACAAAGACTTTGCAATCCTTAAAGTGCTATAAAAATGATAGATATTATGATTATTTTATTATGATATTAATATGATTATTATTCTCATTTTCTGAGGAATCAGAATGTAGTTCTGTTTGAATGGAATCTAGAGTGTATGATAAGAAATAATTTGGGAAAGCTAGAATGGAGTCATATGATGTAGTGTTTTAAATGTCAAACAGGAATTTGCAATTTATTTGTGAAGAAGGGTCCATGACCGTGTTTATCAAAACATCCTAATAATTATATTTTAAAGAAAATGGTTTCCTTTCTAATCCCATGTACATTATGTATTTAAAAACACGATTCTTAGAAGAGGTCCATAACTGTCACCAGACATCCAGAAAGGCTCATAAGATAACAGGTTGAAAATTCCCATTCCAGAGCCAATGCTTTTTGAGTGGGGAAGCGATAAGGTGAGAACTAATGAGGCAGTGTGATATTACAGAAAATATATTTAGTTTGGAGTCAGATGCCCTGGTTTCACATTTTAGCTTTGTCACTTGCTACTTCTCTAACTTTGGGCAAGTAAGTCAATTAATGGTTTTGTGACTCAGTTTCCTCATTTGTAAAATAAGGGGGTGGGACTCTATGGCTCCTCAAAACATCCTATATCTATATCTATGATTCAGTGAGTTATGGTCCTATTAACTGTGTTTTAGGGAAATTGTCTGGCAGCCGTATAAATGAAGAATTGGAGGATAGAGAGCCTGGAGACAGAGAAGAAATCAAAGGTTTTTGCCTCCTATTCTTTCTGGGAAACAATTTCCAAGAATAGAAAAGGTTTTCTAAATGTGGGCTGTTTTCCTGACAAGATAGAGAATATCTTGCCTGTAAATGGGCAGTAAAATAAGTATTACCCATTCTCTTCTGGAACTTGGGACATTTACCAGTCATTAATGTGTCAATTCCAAATGGTCTCAGATTACCATGCTACATTATTATTAATAAGTATTAATATCAACATAAAGACATATATGAAGTGATTCTTTTGTGTAAGGCACAGTGTGAGGCCTGGGGAATGACATGATAAAAAATGAAAAGCAATCATTTCCCTCAAGAAACATATATTCTACTGAAGAACATAATATTTTAAATTGCAAGAGAGCACTAACAAAGAGCAGACCTGGAAAAGATTTTTTTTTTAATTAAATTGAATTTTCTCTCTTTTTCAACATCCCCCATTAGAATTTTAAAAAAAGAAAAGAAAAACAAAATCCTTGTAATAAATATTCGTATTCAAGTAAAACAAATTCCTACATTTGGCATTTCTGAAAAAAAATGTCCCTTTATGTACCAGAGATAGAGACATATGTATAGAAATAGATATATGGACGCTGATAGATATAGAGATAGATGGATAGATAGATGATAGATAGATAGTAAATAAGATAGAAAGAAAGAAAGAAAGAAAGAAAGAAAGAAAGAAAGAAAGAAAGAAAGAAAGAAAGAAAGAAAGAAAGAAAGAAAGAAAGAAAGAAAGAAAGAAAGAAAGAAAGAAAGAAAAAGAGAGAGAGAGAGAGAGAGAGAGAGAGAGAGAGAGAGAGAGAGAGAGAAAGGAAGGAAGGAAGGAAGGAAGGAAGGAAGGAAGGAAGGAAGGAAGGAAGGAAGGAAGGAAGGAAGGAAGGAAGGAAGGAAGGAAGGAAGGAAGGAAGAGAGAGAGAGAAAGAAAGAAAGAGAGAAAGAAAGAAAGAAAGAAAGAAAGAAAGAAAGAAAGAAAGAAAGAAAGAAAGAAAGAAAGAAAGAAAAAGATAGATAGATAGACAGACAGGCAGACAGGCAGACAGGCAGACAGACAAAGCATTTATTATGTCCTGACTATATAACAAACATTGTGTTAAGTTCTAGGAGTATAAATGTAAGAAAATGTGACATCCCTTACTCACAAGGAGCTTTCCCCAAGGGAAAGAGAAAACATAAAGGGAAATTGAAATGAGATTGACTCTTTCCCCTCTAAAAATGGTGATCCCCACCAGGAAATCACCAATTTGAGAGTAGGCCCCAGAAAATAGTCCTCCTAATGTGAGAAGGCTGCCAAAGAGGTGGAGCCATCCAGAGAGTGAGTTGATTAGAAAGTGGGATTCCAAAGATGAGAGTGAACAGGGAGTGAACTACAAGAATGGAGAGTTTGGATTCATTTTTCCACCTATGTAAGCACTTCCTCCAACAACACAATTTGTAACTCTTCACTCAATGCTAATAATCAAAGTTTCATTGAACAGTAAATTCTCTGATCACATGAATCAAGAAATTTTATATGAAATATTTGCATAAGAAACTCCAGTTCAATGGAAAACCTTTAGGCCCAAACTTTTACCAAATCAAATGCTTTGTTATAGCATTTGATAGACAGAAAGATGACATAGAAATGGATATGGAGATATAGACACATATAAATATATTTATATGTATAAATCCTTATGCATATACCTATTTGCACAAGCATGTATCATGCATCTGCCACTATATATGAAAGGCATTATGCTGAGCACTGGGGGTATAGAGATCAAAAAAATGGTCATTGTCTTCAAAGATCTTACATTTTCTCAAAGTGGCACTAATAATGATGAATTATATCAATAACCAACAAAAAGTGAGTGAAACTATATCTAACCGCATACCTATTTTCTCACCTTTGAAAAATCTTCGTAAGATAATTTTTAGAAAAAAATCATACTGAGAGTAACCTTGATGTAAATATGAAAAGCCAATAAACAGGCTTTTATAGTTGATTTTCAACAGCAGGCCACATCATTACACTACGGTGGCCAAGTCTTTGTCTCAATACCTCTCCCATCCATCTCCTCCTCTCCACTCATACTATGCTAATTCAGGCCTTCATACTTCTTGCCTGGACTATCACAATGGCTTCTTCATTGGTCTCATTGTGTGTAATGCACCCTCCACACAGCTGTCAGAGTTATTGCTAACCTGCAACTCTCCTCCACTAAATAAATTTCAGTGTCTCACTGTTCTATCAAGGATCAAAGATAATTCCTCTATTTGGTATCTAAAGCTCACAATATTTTATTCATAAAGACAACACAATATGCACATACAAACATACATATTTATGTTTATAAGTATGTATGAACATATGCATATTCAAACCTATCCTTCCAGTCTTATTATATACATTGCTCCCCTTATATGGTAGTCAAAACAAACTGATCTTCTGACTGTTCCTCATACATGACCTTCTGTTTTCTGTCTTTGCCCTTTCATAGGCTGCCCTCCATTCCTAGATTACTCTCCCTCTTCGTTTCTAGTTCTTACAATACTTAGTTACCTTCAATTCAGTTTTCATGCCACCCACCATAGGACACTTTTCCTGATCTCCCCATCCCAGCACCTTCCAATGCCTCTATCACAGAATTACCTTGTATTTATTTTGAATATACACATATATGTATATATTGTCTGCCTTGAGAGCAAGGACAGTTTTGCTTTTGTCTTTGTATCTTTAGTGGTTCATGGTTAATGAAATTTCCTTCTTTCTTTCTTTCTTGCCTGCTTCCTTTCCTCTCTCCCTCATACTTTCCTCCCTCCCTCTCTCTCTCTCTCTCTCTCTCTCTCTCTCTCTCTCTCTGTCTTTCTCCCCTTTCCTCCCTCTCTTCTTCCTTCATATCTTTCTTCCTTCCTTCCTGCCTTCTTTCCTTTGCTCACTTCTTTCTTTCTTTCTTTCTTTCTTTCTTTCTTTCTTTCTTTCTTTCTTTCTTTCTTTCTTTCTTTCTTTCTTTCTTTCTTTCTTTCTTTCTTTCTTTCAGGTAAGAATACAGAGCTTGTCTTGGAATCAAGATGACCTGGGTTTTGTTTCTACCTCAAAGACCAGCTCTCTACTCACTATGCCAAGCCCCCTCTGCGTGGCACATAGTGGCAACAGTATAAAGTCTTGTTCTTTGATTGTTTAATGACTGAAAGGTATAGAAGATAAAAGTTCTCAACTGCGTTTTTTGTTTGTTTAGCACTAAATTAAAATGTAATAAATTACATAGCTGATAATGGTAGACTGTAGCCTGGGTCTTCTGCTTTTCAACTGTAATAGTTTACATTAATATGACATTGTGGCAATCACCTCTGGAGATAGGGCACTCATTGCACACTCTAGAGGAGAGGGATAACAGAAGAAAAACTGCTCAAGAAACCAGGAGGCAAAAGCTTATGGGAATATAAATGGGCATGGGCCTACTAACTCTGCTGTGGTGTTTGTTTTTATCTTTTTTTTTTCCCCCACTATCAAGAATAGGCTCATATATAAGTTATCTGAGTTCCCTAATGGGAACTCAGACGTGCTAGTCCACACCATGTGAATAATGTGAGAAAACAAGAAAAGCAATAAAAGTGCCCTCACAAAGTCCTGGGGACCTGGAAACCCCTAGCCTGATTCTATTGTATAGACTGGGAAATTGGAGCACCAATGTCATTAGGATCAAATTTGAGGCTTTTCTAGGTCACTCTTGAAGATTAAAACAGTATGCAATGAATCATCCTTTCTTGGGGAAAGGTGGAGATTGAAAATAAATGCTCTCCTTCAAGATTTTTTAAACAGGGGACAGAACTCCAAGGAATTTGCAGCATCTTGGATCATAAAAAGGAGAAATAACATGCCCAACTAAAATTTGCAGTCTCATAAAAGGTATTTGAAAGAGTAGTTTTAGTGTCTCAAAAAATAGAAATAATTATGGGGCTTTTCTTCTATTAAACGTGTTTCCTCTTTTGAAATACCTTATCTACGTTTTCTATATCTATGTGTCCCCCCACCCACTCCCAGCCTAATAGTTTACAGATTAAAATAGTCACAATATTTATTTGTGAACAAAGCAGTAGGAAAGTAATTTTTCTCCCCCAATTCTATTCACTGGGAGCATAGAAAGGAATACTAATTTCTTAGTTTTAAGATTGAGGGGGAAAGTATTTACAAATGACAATAATGCTGTGAGAGTTAAAATGCTAATAGTTATTTAAAAAGACTGAGTATCATAACAAAATTTCACAACAAAACCTCAGATTTAATGATTACTTCTTGCTTTATGAAAATGATGACATTTTCCATCTCAAATATCATTGTTTTTCTCTATTCAGAGCATTTCAAGCTGGAAGGAACCTCAGAAGTCATCTAATCCAATCCTCTAATTTCATAGATGAGGGAAATTGGTCTAAAGAGGCTTAATGGACTTGTCCATAAAAACACAGGTGGCAAATAGCAAAACCTGGAATGGAACCCAAGTCTTTGGCTCTATACCCTGGATTGTTGTCCCTTTACCATGTCACATTCTATATCTGATATTTATTATTTATTCCATTCACCAAACCCACCCAATGATGTGTTTTCTTCAAGTTACGCAAGGAGTTTATTCAGAATGCCTTGCTCTGACTTGATGCTTTTTGTAAATTTACACATTACCAGTCTTTGGACTCCCATATCAAGTTCTGTGTGTCTCCATAGTCCTCTTCCCACAGTCCAAATAAAGACAACAGACAATACATTTGAGAACTGGCTCTTTGGTTAAATGCTTCTTTGACAACAGAAAGTTTCAACCAAATTTTTTTTTTAAATTTTTTTAAGCTGAGACTTCATCATAATTAAAGATGTTGTAGAAATATGATTCAGTGACCTTAGAAAGCAGTTTAGAGTCAAGAAATCTTTGGGTTTTTTTAATGTTCAGACCCAAGAAATGAGCAATATATATGGCTCTCCCTGTTGCCTTACTAATTCACCAGTGAGGAAACTGTTCAGAATAGTTTCATAGCTGAGGTGGAGTCATTATTTCTTATAAATCATTCTTTGACTGACCAAAGTCTCCTAAAAGGTTCACGGTTCTTAACATCTTAAACTAGCAAGTTATAAATGTCATCTGTCTACCAAGCTATAATAGCTGTGAGGAGTTTGTGAGGGGGAACCTCTCTATAAATAGTGAGTTCTAAAAGCAGTGACCCCTTCTTGTTTTAAACCACCAATGCTATACTTGGATAAAACAAGAAAATTTGGTCGGATGGCCAGAATTTGATTCTAAATCTTTAAACCAATTCCAGAGAACATCTCTTAGAATTGTTGTATATGTATATGTGCGTGTACATACATACATATATATATATATATATATATATACACACACACACATATATACATATAATACACACACATATATATGTGTGTGTGTCTATATGTATATATTTATGTATGTGTGTATATATAGGTGCACATATATACATATGTGTGTACATACACATATGCACAAATGTATATGTATATAGACATATACATATCCATATATATATTACATACATACATACATACATCTGCTATTTTCTTACAAAGTACAGCCAAAGGGGTGGGGATAGGGGGAGATTTTTTCTTATTCTTTGTTTTTAATAACTATTATTAATGATAATTACTAATTACTACAATTGCTAACATTGGTCACATCTGTTTTTTTTTATCTGGAGCAGATAACACTTTCTATGATGAATTTTGGGGGCAGAAGTGAAATTCACCAGATTATTACCATCTGCCCCCTAGAATTACTGAAGAGGAGGCCTGGTTAGAAAACCACAGAGGTTGGTGGGAATGGGAGTGTTACCGTTTTCTTCCTTGTCAGAATTCTCTTTCCAGTTTGAACATTTTCCTTTCTTACAGAATAAATGCCTGAATTAGCTCAATCTTCCATTTCTTGTTTTAGGACTGAATGGCGAGAATCTCTTATCAAGTCATGCCTGCCCATCCTGTGTAACTTTCACGCATGTCTTCCCACAAATTCACCTCGGTGAGGTTTGAACAATATCCTGGGGGCCTTCTTCAAGTACTATTAACAATACTTGCACCAGTGGAGCGAACAAGTATCCATTATTAACCATTATTATGTGGCTACTTATTTATATATTGTTTTCCTCATCAAAATAAATTATCACGAAATGAAGGATCCTTTCTTTGGATTGCCAGTGTTTAATGCCATGTCTGGCACATAAAATGCATTTTTAAAAAATTTTCATTGAGTGACTGGGAAAATTTTGTTGTTATTGTCTATTACTTTAATGTCATCATTCATTCCACTTCTCCTGTGTAATTGCTTTTCGTTTTTTGTTTTTGTTTTATTTTTGTTTTTGTTTTGTGGGGGGGTTTTGCTACACAATGGGGTTAAGTGACTTGCCCAGGGTCACATAAGTAGTAAGCGCTATGTGTCTGAGGCTGGACTTGAACTCAGGTCTTCCTGACTTCAGGGCCGGTGTTCTGTCCACTGTGCCACCTACCTGCCCCCATGTAATTACTTTTCTTTAATGTGTAAGACTACTGAAGTCCAACGTGTACCTCTCTCCCTTGTCCTTTGGATGATTTTCAAGTTCAGCTCTTCAGAGGCAGTAAGCAAGTGTTTTTACCTTGGGGTCTGTGAGTTTACTTTTAAGTGCTTTTTGATAATTGTATTTCAACATGATAGGTTTCCTTTGTAATTCTGTCTGTTCTGTTACATGAATTTAAAAACATCATTCTAAGAAGGATTACAATAAGGTTCACCAGGCTGCCAAAGGGGTAGAGAAAACTAAAAGAAAAAAAATGTTAAGAACCCTCGGTCTATAGTATTCCAATACTTACAACCACACAATATTGTTCAAGAACATTAGTGTTTTTTAAAAATGACTTTTGTTTCAAGAAGCTTAGAGTCACTAAAAGAACTTTGTAATATCCAAAAAGCAATTGACCTGGCTCTTGTCTATTCCTTTGCCTTATCCTTCTCCTGTTCAAGTCCGAGCCCAAGTTCTTGGTCAAATAAAATATATGTCAACAATGTGATAGCTCCATCAGAGTATCAGAATATATGTCACCTAACAATTAGGAAGATCTATATAACCAAAGTGAAATGAATTGAGTTAATTATCTAGATATTTCAAGCCAGACATACTTATATGCTTCCACTACCTGGATACAATGAGTCAAAGGAATAGTAGACAGAATGCTGGCCTTGAAGTCAGGAGGATGTAAGCACAAATCCTGTCTCAGATAGTTTATAGCTGTGTTGACCTTGGAAAGTTCAATAAGCATCTTTGTCTCAGTTTCCTCATCTGTAAAATAGGCCTAAATATAGCACCTATCTGAAGAGAGTATTGTGAGAGTCAAAAGAATAGATACAAACACACACACCTGCATACACACATATATGTATATGCCTGTGTATATATACATGTGTGTATACACATATATAAATATACAATTATATGTGTGCATATGTATACACACACACACATACACACATATACACAGTCCATTCTCAACATTTGTAGATTTAACTTTCCCACCTTCAAGCACTAGTATGATTTTATTAGTAACTCCATTTTCACTTTCCTGTTAGAAACCTTGCATGTTCCCAACTATAAGCAGTAGAACAAAGGAAGAAGGAAGAAAGAAGAAGAAGAAGAAGAAGAAGGAGGAGAAGAAGGAGAAGAAGAAGGAGAAGAAGAAGAAGGAGAAGAAGAAGAAGGAGAAAAAGGAGAAGAAGAAGGAGAAGAAGGAGAAGAAGAAGGAGAAGAAGGAGAGAGAAGAAGAAGAAGAAGAAGAGAAGAAGAAGAAGAAGAAGAAGAAGAGAAGAAGAAGAGAAGAAGAAGAAGAAGAAGAAGAAGAAGGAGAAGAGGAGGAGGAGGAAAAGGGAGAGGAGAAGGAGGGGGAGGAGAAGGAGGGGGAGGAGAAGGAGGAGAAGGAGGGGAAGGAGAAGAATGCAAGTTTGTGTGGGGGCTAGTATCTTACTAAGTGCCTCACTGGCCTTATTCACCCTACAACAGTAAAAAGCCCCCTTTGCATTTGTTGCATATTGTCATTGTTTGCCAGTAAAACTTGTTTTGTGTTGAAATTTTACCCCCAACGGATAGTGCAAGTCATTTGGGCTCTAAACCCAACAGTGAAAAGTCAGGGATGAGGCTTATTGAAAAAATAAAGGTGTTTGATGAACTTCAGGCAGGAATGCATGTAGCCTCTGTCCTCGGTGAGTTTGGTGTTAATGAGTCAACTTTGTTATACCTGCAAAAAGGAAGAAAGTATTGGTAAAAAGTGTTCAGAAAGTGCTCCAGAAAGGGCTAAAGTAACTTCTCAAATGCTCAATGAGGGAATTGAAAAAATGCGAAAGGGGACTAAGTGAGTAAATGAGATGGTGACCAGCCCACACCCACTGTCCCATCTTGCACCTGAGCTTGCACTTCCAAACAGAATGTGCCTTTCTCCTGATGCTGAAGCTGCAGTCAGCAGAGCTGACCAGGGTCTGAGTCCCAAGCTCAGAAGTGGGATTCACCCCAAGGCATGTGCTTTTAATCAGAAACCAGTTCAACTACTGAGCAAAAAGGAGATTAGACATGGCAGTTTGCCCCTTTCCCTTTTTTATTTTTTATTTTATTTTATTTTTTAGCCAAGTGGTTCTTCTGACAGCACTGCCCCTGTCCTGCATTGCCTCTGATCTCCCCTGCATTGTATGGGTTATTTCATGGTTACTGTGTTAGGAAAAGTGCATATTATCAGAATCAATGTTTTGTTATTAGGAATTGTATGCAGAAAAGTGTATATTTAGCAAAAGATTGCAGCGGTCACAGGAACCTAACCCTCTATTTTCCATGCATTTAATGCATCAACATTTGTATTTTTGACTTTTTATGCCATTTTCTAGGAAATTACCCCTCCAAAGTTGAGGACTGATTACACACACACACACACGTAAGCTTCACTAAAAGCAATATTTAAATCTAAAGCAACATTTAAATGCTATTAATTATCCCCAATTTATTCTGTATTTATCTCTCTTGTACATAGCTGTTTTTGTTGTCTCCCTGTTAGACTCTGAGCTACCTGAGAGTAGAGACTATCTTTTGCTTTTGGGGGGTGGGGGTGGAGGGATCCTCTGCATTTAGCACCATGCCTGGTACCTAGCAGGCAATAAATAAATACTTATTGACTGAGTTATTTGTCTAATTTCTGAATTGTCTGTTTTACTTTGCATGTAGAGAGACATTTAAAATCAAATAAATGTATGCCTCAAAATTTAACGGCACAAGAACACTAGGCATTTGTATGTATTGCTTTTAAATATTATAATCCAAGGAGGTCCCCGGGGTAAAAGGAAAGATAAAAAAGATGTCTTTTTAAACAACATATAAAAATGAAATAAATAAATATATCCAGAGGCAACTGATGAGAATGCTTAAGAGGACTAAAAACCTTTGTGTTCAACTGAGAATGTTTAGGATGGAGAAGATTTCAGGAAGACATGATAGCTGTCTTCAAATATTTGAAGTGCTGTCAAGTAAAAGAGGCTTTAGACATTCTACTTGTCCCCAGAGGGAAGAATTAGGAGCAATGGATCAAAGTGACAGAGAAACGGATTTTTGCCTAGATGCATGGATGACTTTCCTAATATTTAAAGGCATCTGAAAGAGAATGAGCTGCCTTGTAATTTGTGAGCTTCCCATGACTGGGAGACTTCCTGTGGAGGCTGGCTAACCTTGTGTATGGGGATATTAAAAAGGGCATTACTATTCAGGAACAAGTTTTGCTTGATCTCTGAGCCCCTTTGTAACCTGGAGGTTCTGTGATTCTGTTATTCATAACATAAAAATATGGTTATTCATACCACAAAAGTCTTCCAAACTTTGCAAATACCTTCCCTGCCAGATTCCCTATCCAGCAGCTACTGTGATGGATTTCGTTTTGAGTCAGTCTCATAACCTCTCTATACCCTAGATTCCTTCTCTATAAAATGTTCAAGATTTTCATTAGGACCCATTTCATCCCTGAAATGTGATGATGATGTTATTCCCATGACTATGCTACCTACTTCTCTCTTTTTGTTGATGGCACCCTCATGATCCTAATCTCCCAGGCTCAGAGATGCAGAAGTATCTGTGACTTTACCCTTTCTCTCATTCCCCTAACTAGCTAACAAATCATTTATTGATACAATAAGCATTTATTAAGTGCCTACTCCATGCCATTCATGCCAGTCACTATCTAAAATGCTGGGGCTATTAAAAAAGGCAAAAGACAGTCCCTGCCTTTGAAGAGCTGACAATAATATGTATGGGATAAAAAAAAAAAAAAAGAAACAATCAACCAAGGGAAGGTACAAGAATTAAAAGGGTCTGGGGAAAAACTTTCTGTAGAAGATAGGATTTTGCTGGGACTTGAAGCAAGTCAAGAAAGTCAGGAAGAGTGGAGAGGCATGAGGAGGGGGAATATTCTAGGTATAGAGGACAGTCTGGGAAAATGCCAAGACACTGACAAATCATGTCAACTGCACTAATACACTGCATATCTTATAGCTCCCAATTTCTTTTTGCACACAGACAACATACAAATTCAGATCCCTATCACCTCTTACTGTGTTTATCGTCATAACTTCCTTGCCTCCAATGTTGCCCTTTTCTAATCCATTTTACATATAGCTGCCAAATTAATCTTCCTAAATTCAAAGGTTGGACCATTTCACTCCTTGGCTTCAATGATTTGCCATTACCTATAGAACAAAATGTTTACCCTGGCATTTGAGGTTCATTGTATTATGGCTTTAACTTATCCTTCTTTCATTATTCCATATTGCTTTTTATTATATTCTCTGTAGCCAAAATGAACCACAAGCTAATCTCCAATCTCACCCAGAATGCTTTCATTTTTCCATGTTGACACAATCCTTCCTATGCCTGGAATGCCATACTGCCATATTTCATCTATTGAAATATTTCTCTTCTTCAAAGCCATAACAAACTCTTATGTAAAACTTCATTCAATCCTTCTCAGGATTTTATTTAACTTGGAATCGTATTTTTTATTTTAATATTTATATTGCAACATAATTTGTTTCTATTGTAACTGTCAGCAAATCTCAAATTTTGTTCACAAGAATCCTTTATACTCTTAAAGATTATTTATGAACTCTCCCCAAAGAACTTTTTCTTATGTGGGTTCTAGATATATAGATAAGAAGATATACAGATAGGGATTGGGATAAAGAGATATAGATATGTGTATAGATAGATATAGATGTATGTATAGATGGAGAGATAAAGATATGTATAAACATATCAAGATAAATATGATCGTAGCTACATGTATAGAGA